TGGGTTGACAAGTTCTTAGGTGGACCATACCTTGAAGAAAGCATTTGCGAGGAAGGAATTGTACCACACGCCGAAGAAATTTGTACCCGCCTGCAATTCCGATGTTTGTAGTCATATCAGCAGAAAACATCAATTCTTCCTTCCTTCCTGTATGGTTATCAACACCTGCCTATCATTTTTGACGTTATCGCATTGTGAACCTGATGAAGGTGGAGAAAACGTGCGTGAACTTGTTGTATTGGAGCTACGGGAGAAGGGAGAATATCTATGGTGCGCGCACGGAGCAGCTGACTAATCAGTGCCTGGCCAATCAGAGCACGGGAAGCCTGATTCACCGTGAATACTAGTGAAGGCTCTCACCGCGTCTCGACAGAACCCCTCCACCCTCTACACACCCTATGACTGACAAGGCTGTTAGATTGCATCATCGTGAAGAGGTCTTGCTGCGATCTGTCAAAGCGACGAGAGTTTTTGACGCGCATTGTACGTAAAAGGTGGGAATAACTCTGGATACCTAGGTACCTACAGCGAGCTGAAGGGGTAAGACTACTTAGGTAGATGATGTTACGGGTCTTGATTGTAAGACATGAAACCCTGGAAGTTTCCCATGCTGTAGTCGGATATTTGCGCTCGAGTGCGCATCTGAGCTATGCTGCCACGTGCATGTGCTGTCGTTGGAAAGAAATGTTGCACACCACAGGAGCGGAACTTAGGTTTGTCAGATGCCCCCACGGAGTGACGATGCTGTAAGTCTATTGATAGCAGAAAACCTTGGAAGCATTGAATCAGGGAAAAAGCTTAGCTCTCTACCCTCTTCTGGTTGCAACTCCACGTGTGTCTATATCTTAGTGTAATCTTTGTTGTTGAAGTGTGCATATCTTTGATCTTCCAACTTATGGCTCTAGGACAGCACGGTAGCTAATGCAGGGACCAATAATCGGCTTTTCTTGGACTTACCTACGCTCTCGCGGGGTCTCTCTCACGCGTGTGCAAGCCCCACACTGCCCCTCAACAAGCGCGTCTGCCTATTTA